TCCTGCTGCCTAGACAATGCTAAAACCAGAAGATTGTTAGCTTTTATCTACAACTGAACTGAAATATCCATGGATGCTTTCTTTCCTGAAGAGAAGGCTGGGCTTTGTAGAAAGTATTTCATCAGTGAAAGTAACTGTGCTAAAAAGCAAACGAAGTAGTAAAACCCTTCATCATCATCATCCCCCAATCACCCTGTCATACACAGAAGTGAATAAGTTGTCTCAAGAGCTAGACATATTGTCTAAATGAGGGCTGTATTGTCAAAACAGTCTAAAGCTGAGAGTGGTATTATTACAGTTGGGGAAAACATCATGTATGAGGACATATTTGATCAGATGTGCCCTGGTTTTCCACTTTGGTAAAAAAAAAAAAAAAAAAAAAAAAAAATTAGAGGAAAAGAGAAACTTCACTAAAAAAAAAAAAAAAAAAGAGACAGGTATAGTTTTTATAATCCATCCTCATCACCACAGCCATATTAATGGTATGGAACTGTCAGCCATAGCTTAGTCCTTAATTTTTCACTCCTGGAAATCACAGGATTTGTTAAACAAATTACGGAGCCTGAGTGTTTAACAAAAAAACCCCGTTTCTAACCAGACGCAGCTGCTACAGAACTGCACGGACCAGTCGTAAGTGCCCCTTTCAGACACTTCCTTCTCTGTTCACAGAGGTATCTGCGAAAAGGAAAAACCAATACAGAAGAACACTTAGACAGGAACATTCCTATCTTTTAGAAGAGGGCTCTGGTTGTTAACTCTAACAGACAGATGAGGTTGGGTATTCAACTGCATTAGGTCCTTTAGGGAGAAGCCTAATGTAAAATAGCAAACAATATGGCTTGAAATGTACAGCAAAGCAAGCATTCAAGAGAGCTTAGCTTGCCAGTCATGCTTAAGTAACTCGAACAATGGTAAACAAGACAAAATTTTGCCAATCCAGACTGGATTTTTTTTCCTTTGTCTGTTGAATCATAAACCATCTGACAACTCAGACTGGTACCCAGTAACCCTATTCAGTCTGGTCTTAATCAGACTTCAGGATTCACCATCGGGAATTGCAAGATCCTTTGGGCTTAGAAGAAACTTGGGCATGCACACATTCCCAATTGCAGACTGGACTAACTCTGAAAAAACCATTTTTTTAAGAAAATCCCCCCAAAACCCACAGGGCTTCCTGAATTTCCTAAATGCTAAGATTTTTTTATTCAAGAAGTCTCAAAAATACAATTTAGCCAGCACAATAGCTTTATTTTGCAATTTGAATTATTATACACAAGTCTGTAAAAGCCCACAGGAGGAACAGCATGGAAACTTACCACTTTTTGGCATTTTCTTAAATTAGAGCCAAAGTGCAAGGTCTCCAATTAACCCCCAAGGTAAGAGAACAAGACTTTGCTGTTAACAAAAGTCACGTTAACACTTGAAATATCCAATTAGTTATTTAAAAGGCCACATCTTCAAATGCAATTAGAAATCATTTAATAAAGTTTTTGTTTCTTTTGGTATGATAAATTGCCACATATCCTACAGCTAACAGGTAACAGAACATCATGTTTTCCCGAAACATGTAAAAAAGCAAACAACACTGTCTCTACATTACTCCATACACCTTAAAATTCCACTCGAATACCTGGGAACAATTGATTTCTGGCATTCATTTTTATTTCCTTCAGACATGCTGTTGCTCTTCTTCAAAAAGAAAAAAAAAAATAAGAAAAAAGAAGAAAGCCCAAACCAAACTTTTCATACATAGTATCTTGAGGCACAGGTTCCCCCAGCTGAAAGGACTTTTTACACAGGGTGTATCATATGTTACAACATTGTTGCTACTTGACATCTATGGCACATTGCTTTTTTGGGGTGGAAAAAAAAAAAGTCTCCTCTGTGTTCAGCTGCTACAATATGGCACAAAGTTATAAGTTAACACCATGACTAAATATTGTGATGCTTTTTTGCTGGCTATTTTGGGGTGCACATAAATAAAAGGCACACTTTTCCTCTCTCCTCTCAAATCATTTATGTACTGTACAAGCCTAACTTCCCAGCACTGCTCCATGCCTGCTGGCCCAGTGCAAAAAAAGATTTAAGTCAACATCCAATGCTAGTAGCAGCTCCATATGCTTAACCAATGGCTTTAGTTTAGCATGCTACTTCCGCTGTGGTGACCATTGATGAGAGGCCAACAGTTTTCCTGAAAAAAATTACAAAGCCTAAAAAAAAAATTAAGTTATTTATATTCACTTACATGTATATTTTCCAAATGTGTTCACAATGTTCAGAAAGTGCACATTTTGAAGTCTTGTTTCAGTATGACAAACGTCCATGACCTATATATTATAGCAGCGCCATGTGCAACAGTATCATTAAAGAACTGGCAATGTTTCCATTACTGACCCTGTTTTGCGGGAGTATAATCCAACTACACGAATTTGCTCTTAGCTAGAACTTAGTGACCATAGTGTCTTCAGCATGGTACTTTTAAATATTTGCATTTAATTCTGTACAGCAGTCAGAATCTGAAAAAACAGGTTAGTGGTTTCACTTTTTGGCGCTTGTTTTTACGTAACAAGGATTATCAAGAATGAAAGTGAGCTTACAGCACATGAAGAGCCCTCAATAATAAAAGCTCCACAAACTATTACCACACTGTTAAAAACTTAACAAAACCCAATAAGATTTAGTTAATGATTTGTGGATCCTTACAAAATGACTTTTCGTGATTTAACAGATAACATCGACGAAATTATCACATATAAAAACAGCTTAGGTCTTAACATCAATGGTCTGACAAACGTATTTAAACAAGAATATTCAGAGTTAAGACTAGTGCTAAATTTAGCTCCTAAATTTAGCTAAATTTAGATTTGAGAGTTTAGATACTCTCAACTTGATATGCCTTTAAAAAAAAAGTCCAACTTTCAGAAGAGTCTGAAAAAACAGCGGTTTCAAGTGAGTCTGGAGCAATTAGGTATTGTGGCTGGAGTTACCATAAATATGTACTACAGGCTGACTTGACAAAGTTGTGTTAAAAGAAGAGTTGAACCACTGCTTCTGAAGGTTCCTGCTTTGGTTATCCTTAAAAAAAAAAAAAATAATAATTTGGACTGTTATAATAACAGTGCAAGTTCATTATAAAGCCACATGCCTCTTTGTAGATGTTCTCTTATCGACTGGTTTTTATTATGCCCACTGCCCGCAATGGACATTCTGCTTGGAAAATCCACTTTCTGCTGTAAAAGGTTTCGCTGAACCAAATGAAGAAATAATTCTGATACCAGACTCAAATTGCAACGCACTATTTCATTTAGTTCTTCTTAAGAATATTTAAAAGCCTTCTCCACCTACAGTCTTTTTGAAATACAAGGCACAAATACGGGGTGGACATTCCAGCAAAAAGTGATTGTCTGAAATTAACAGTCCACAGCAGTCTTCTAGTCCAGCACAATGAAACATTTTTGCTGTCCAATTCTATGCCACGTCTTCTAGATAATCTGCAACATCACTTAACTGAGAAATGGTAACGTCTTGTGTGATGCCTTCAAGCTAGAAAACAAATGAAATTACAAACTCAGAAATCATAGAAACGGTACATATTTCTTGTAGTCCTTCATATCACATCCCAACCTTTTGGCCTCAAGCTCTTCCAGTAAGATTTCAACTCCTTTAGGAGGTTCTCAGACAGATCTTGAGATATAGGGATAAGACATTCCTATCTTGGATACGAAACCAAGCTCAAATACATTTTACATGCCTAGAAACAGACAGTGAATTGTGCTACTGAACAATTGTTGTGGGGTTTTTGTTTTGTTTTTAAATCAGTATAGTATCTAACTTGGCAGGAATACTAGGTGTAAAAATATGGAACATAATAAATAATACAACTTTAACATGTATCCTAGGAACCTATGATAATGGCACATTCCTTCACAGAAGGTTAAAAAAAGTCAAGACAAGCTCAGAAGAATGTCAAGAAGCACACTTTTAAAAGAATCGTACTTTATCACTGGCATTCGACTCTTCTGTTTCCACAGAAATTTCATCTATTTCTTCACCAATACTGATATCACTTTTTTCTGAGCGATGACTAGTACTAAAGAGAAAGAAAACCATAAATGTAGAAATAAGACTTTCTTTTCCAACATTCAAGTATTACATTCACTTCCACTTTATACCTGATATTTGATTTGGATTTCACTTCCTAGAAGTTACATAAAAACCCATAACAACTAAAGGCTTTCGAGCTAGATGAAGCCATGATAAATTCTGATAAGGCCTCAATCCTGCAGTCTACAACACCAATACCTTCACATCATAAGGATGCAGCTGTTAAATATTTTATTACTGACTACTCATGATGCTTTACTTTTTTAGTTGAATATATCAGCATACACCTTATTCATTGTCTAATAGCATTAAAGTGTTAACACATTGCTAAGTGCATGGTTCAGAAAAAAAAAACCAACCAAAAACCACTACAAACGAACAACTCTTCCACAAAAAACAACAACTTAACACCTTAAAGTCAACACTAGGTTTTTATA